TAGGTAAAGTAACTTGCCCGAACATACATATTTGGCAAATAGTGGGGCTGGGATTTGAACTCAGTATGGTGACAAAGTGCAAAATATGAAGATGATATAACAGCCTCAAACTTAGCACCTAATTTTAATAAATGTTAACATTTTACCATATTAGTTTCAGTTTTTTTTTTTTTTCTGAAACCCATTACACATAGGCCACTGCTTCTGCTTAAGTAGGAAATTGTGGGAGATGTGATTTTTTTCTGGTTCCATCAGATTCTTTTTCTGACTTTCAGCATCCTTCTTGCAAATATTAGTCCTTCCCCTAGCAGTCTGACGATGATTACCTTTTTTATAACTGGTGAGAATACATTGCGCAGTTATTTCTGGAGTATTTGCCATGTGCCAGGTACTGTGCTGGGGGTGTAGATATAACTATGAGAAAGGACCCTGTTCTGGGCAGCGTGTGGAACTCACAGTCTAACAGTGTGGGAAGTTGAATTTATTTAAGCATAAGGTGCATCATTTTTGTAGGAAGGAGCTGATGTAGCTTGTTAAAGACACAGATTTGATGATTTTAGTGATTTCTGGTCTGCTCGTTGGATTCTGTAGGCATCTTTAGCCTTGGGTTAGTAATTCACTTATTTATATGTATTTTCTGGAATATAATTCCAGATGTTAAAATTGGGAAGGATCTGGAATTCTAAAGGTCAGGCTCTGTTGCCTCCATTCTGGGTTGGCTCTCGGTTGGCTCTGAACTCCACCTTGTAGGTGGAACCCTGGAGTGGAGTTGTTGTGGGTCCACTTGGCCTCGTACTCTGTTTGCAGCTCTTGAGTTGTGGAACTGGAGAGGGCTTCACATGGTCTTACCTCCAGAAGCTTCTTGTAGGGCCTGAGGAGTCTCAGGACTTGGCATTGCCCTGGCTCCTGTGGCTTGAAGACCTCAGATCCTGTGGAAGTTCAGCAGTCATATGTGATTTGAGGGGAACTGACTTTTTTTTTTTTTTTTGGGTCTCTTATCCATTCACTGTGTGTTCAAAAATAGTAAAATTAGCATATGGTAAAATATATTTAAAAATTGTAAAATTAATTTATTAGAATTTGGAAGTATTACCAGATCAAAAATTTAATATCAAGCATCTTGAAATAATTTTTAAGTAGGATGAATGAATAAAGTTAGTTTCAACACTGCTAGTATTAGCTAGCATTATTACAGAATGACGGCTTGGTTGTCCAGACGTTACTGTTAATTAGAGTAATCCTAATAAGAAGGGAAGTGCTGATGAGTCTTCTCAATTTACTTACCGCTTTTCAACTTTATTTCCAGCAGATGGTTCTGAGCGGTGTTTTTTTTTTTTTTCGCCACCCCCCCTTTTATATTTAGGGGATTAGCAAATGCTTTTGGAACAGATAGTAGTATTTTGGCATTTGTTTTAGTTAAGACTTTTGGAATCTATCATGCAGTGTCTTGACAGAAAATGGGCTCCTTCTGAAATGAGATGATAAAGAGATGTTCTTGTCAGATGATTCTCAGGAGACGGCAGTGGCTGTTTCTTAGACATATGCCATGACATTTTAAGAAAATTATATAATCATTTTCTAACCGCCGCCCCCCACCCCGCAAAGTTCAGGAAGCTTGTATGAAAGTTCTAGGAAGTAAGTGTACTTCTTAGAGAGCCAGCGTTGGAACTAGCCTGCACATGTAGATTGGAGTTCTTTTTCTGCAGTTCACTAGTGTGGGCAGTTTAATCAACTTCTCAGCACCTCCCTTTTCTCATTTGCAAAACAGGGATAATTTCTACTTTCTTCACAGGGTTTCTGTAAAGAGAGAGTGTAAAAGCACTTTTAAAGTTATTAGGGATGCATAAATGTAATTTATATGTTAGTATATATGTCTTTTTTTTCTACTAGAAACAAGCAGAATATTTTAAGTTTTTGCAAAACTGCTTTCTTTGAAATTAGTGTTTGATTCTCAGTAATCACAAGTTTTTTCTTTTTTAATTTCAAGGAGTATTCTGAGGCTTGATATTTTAGGAGTTGGAGAGCTTATAATGAAAGACATTAATCCAATATAGACGAGAGTATTATTATCTAAACATGTGTTGATGACTTTGTGCTTTTAGGTATACCAAGCTTGGCTACGCAGGCAACACTGAGCCCCAGTTCATTATTCCTTCATGTAAGTAAAGCTCTATCCTTGGGTTTATAAAGGTTTGTGTTTCTCAGAATTGTTCTAAGTGTTCTGATTCTGTTTTTCAAGGCATATTAATGTACTTATGTACTTACCATCTTCTTTTAGAAGACCGTTCTGGTTACCCACAACTTTCTAGTCCTTTTGTTCCATTCTGATAAAGCCCTTGTCACTGTCATTGGAATCTCAGCTTGGGTGGCCAGCAGGTCCGTTTATTCAGTTATAAATGCCTGAACTGCCTAGAAAAAGTGTATCTGGTCGTTAAGGTTAATTTGTAATTTTAAGTACATACAATCTGTTAGCTTAGTAACTTAATGGACTGAATATCTCCTGTACTACACTATTCACTCTATTGAAAGATTTTTTTTTTTTTTTTGGTGGAAATGATAGGCCTTGTGTTCAGTAGTGTTCTATTTTTGTTTAAGTTTTAATCAGTAGAGAATAAGTTTAACAGCAGTGTCCTTGCAGTTTGGCATGGGGCGTTCTACTCACTCACTATTTCCTGTAGGAGCCTTCCCGAGGTTAGTCAGTTGTTAAAGGATGGGATTCTCGGCTGGGCATGGTGGCTCACGCCTGTAATCCTGGCACTTTGGGAGGCTGAGGCGGGTGGATCCCCTGAGGTCAGGAGTTTGAAACCAGCCTGGCCAACATGGTGGAACCCCGTCTCTACTAAAAATACAAAAATTAGCTGGGTGTGGTGGCGGGCACCTGTAATCCCAGCTACTCGGGAGGCTGAGGTGGAGAATCACTTGAACCCGGTGGGTGGAGGTTGCAGTGAGCCGTAATTGTGCCACTGCACTCCAGCCTGGGTGACAAGAGTGAAACTCCATCTCAAAAAAAAAAAAAGGGATAGAATTCTCTGGAACTAACTATATTTCAGGTTATTATTTGGAAACAGTTTGCTGAAGAGTAGGATGTATTCATCAAGCGTAAGTGAAATTCTGTTTTCTACATGTAGCTCTCATAAGATAAGTTGTGATTTTAGAAATCGTAAGTTTTTAGGGGGCTATGATGTTGTAATAACAGGCTTTGCGAAGAGTGAGGAACTTGGAGAGGGAAAAAACAGCTGGAGAGAAGGTGCTTGATTCGTGTTTATTCAGGGTAGGGCTAAAGCGGTGTTTGGTGAATGTGGGTATTCACATCACTAGAAAGTGGACTCCAGATTCTTTGGGAACATTTAAGTAACCTCATTCCAGTTCCTTGCTTGCTGAAAAACTGGCCATGAATGTGATTTTCTAGATGTAAACGTGCTGCTGTGAATGGGTTATCGTGATGACAGGCGTGATTGGTCTGCTGTGTCCTCATTTTGAATTCGTAAATGAGTGTCTTAGTGTGCTTGGGCTGCCATAACAAAATACTAAAGACTGGGGAAATTAATGTTACCATAGTCTGGAGGTTGGAAGTCCAAGATCAAGGTGCTGTCAGGGTTGATTTCCGGTGAGGCCTCTCTCCACAGCCTGCAGAGGGCCGCCTTCTTTCTCTCTGTGTCATCCCATGGTCTCATCTCCGTGTCAGTGTGTGGGGTTGCTGGGGACCTCGCTGGTGTCTCACCACTCTTATTGATGGGGACCCCACATTTACCCTAACCGCCTCCCTAAAAGTTTCATCTCCAAATGCAGTCACATTGAGGGTTAGGGCTTCAGCATAGTGAATTCTGTGGGGACATGGTTCAGTCCATGACAATTGGTATGCTGTAGGATGAATCAGTCTTTTGTGAATTTCATTAATGTGAATGCCCCAGAACCCGATCATTCCATGCTGAGTTGATAAATTGAACTTCCTGACTTTTCAAAGCAGAAGATTAGATTTTAACCTTGTTAAGTGCAACAGCTATAAAAGGCTGACCTTGCACCTTTTGCTTTAATGTGTTGCCATTTAAAGCTGTCGGTAGCATTCAGTTGGCTGCCCCATTTAACCTGTCGTCATTAATAGAGACAGGAAGCGAAGACAGTTATTATCAGGATTTCATTCACTGTCAAAAAGCAGGAGAGCTCTCAGACTGCGGCTGTCAGAACCTTAGCAGTCGCAGAAGCTGGGAGGATAATACAAATGTCAAAGAGGTGGGAGTAAAAGAACAGTTACTTTGTTGGGCTGAGTTTGTTGCGAGAGATGGAGGCCCCAGGAGTCAAGGTTAGAAGATGTTCGGGCAGAAGTGAGGATACTGAGATGTGGAAGTGAGGGCCTGGGTCACTGTGGACAGTTAGCCTGCTGCATGTCTTGGGACTGGGAGTGGAACCGTTTTGTGCAAGTGCGTGGATGTGTGGTGAGTGCTGGAGCAAGACTTTCTCTGCTGGGCATGGAGGGGAGGCACTGTGGGGGTGTGGAGAAGCAGGGGTGCTGTGGGATGGTGGGGAGAGCGCCAGGAGGTGGAGATGACCTGTGGAGAAGGGCCGGGTGGCGAGGGACTTGCAAGTGTCCTCTTAAGAAATTCTGTTTTTGTTTTGCATACCAGGAATTTTCAGACTGTTTTTGAGGCTTCTCTCTGGGGCCTGGCCCACTGGACTAGAGAATCCTCAAGCCCTATCCTTGCCTCCAGGGGCATCTCTGCTTGTGTCTGTTTGTTGAAGCTTCTGTGCAGAATTTGGTTGCTTGAAGAAAGTTTTTCCCTACTTTTTCTGTTAAGTTGTTGGAGGATATCGGTGGTCCTGCCACAGCTTCAGGCAGAGAATGTGTGGTGATCAGAGAATGTGTGGTGTAGAAAGAGGCTGGAGGAGGAGCAGCGAGGGGCTAAGAGAAAGGGCACACATTTTGGAAATTCGATATGGGAAGAGTTCAGGTGTGAGGAAGTTTAAGACCCAGGGAAGAGAGTTAGGCTGCAGATAGAAAGTATAATAACGGGCGCCGTGGGTCATGCCTGTAATCCTAACTTTGGGAGGCCAAGGTGGGCGAATCACCTGAGGTCAGGGATTCGAGACCAGCCTGGCCAAAATGGCGACACTCCATGTGTACTAAAAATACAAAAATTAACTCTGCATGGTGGCGGGTGCCTGTAACCCCAACTACTCGGGAGGCTGAGGCAGGAGACTCTCTTGAACCCGGGAGGTGGAGATTGCAGTGAGCCGAGATTGAGCCACTGCACTCTAGCCTTGGGGGACAGAGTGAGGCTGTGTCTCAAAAAAAAAAAAAAAAAAAAAACAACAAAAACCACACACACACACGCACACACACTCCATTCCATGAACTCACCACCGAGGATGAACACATCAGCATTACTGCGTATTTCATCTCTGTATCAGAGTAAATGAATAAATAATACATTATAGGTCGAGTATCAGCCCCTTCTTCTGTCCCTCTTTCTTATAGGTCGAGTATCAGCCCCCTCCTCTTTCCCTCTTTCCTCTGGTGGATATTTTCTGATTGTATTTCTATTCAATTTTTATCTGTATATAACATGTACAAATATACATTGTTTTGTGAGTTCAAACGTTTCCAAAATGGTATCACACTGTAACTAACTTTCTCCGTGGTCTTTAAAAAGAAAAACCCTCAATATTATGTTTTTATCATGTATCAGTTCTGATACATACAGATGTACATCAGAGTTCTAACGTGAATATACAACAATTTTTTTCCTTTTGGGTATTTTTCACATTTCTCTGTTATATAAAATGGTGCGGTAAAAATCTCCTTATGCGTATCTGCTAGTTTCCTGAGAGGAAAGAATCAGAAATTGAATTGTTTTGTCACAGAGTGTACACTGCTTCATCCTTAGGCAACACCTTATTAGGGATTGCCACGTTGCTCCTGCAGGGGGCTGTCCTGATGTATATCCCATCGGCAGTGTGTGAGAGTTTCTGCTTCATTCATACATCTTTGATAATTGATATTGTTTGACTTACATTTTGGTCAGTCTAATGAATGTAAAACGATGGCTCATTCAAAAAATTTCTGTTTCTCAGATTACTGGTAAGGTTCAGCACCTTTCATTGCCTGTTCATATCTTTGCCCATTTTTCTATTGCATTTTTAAATGGAATTACAGGAACTCTTTGTAGAGGTTAAATATGAACTTTTTGCAGACACTTTTTTATTCTAGGACATTTTAAAAAATTATCTTTTATTATCTGGAAATTTAAAATTTTGATATAGTAATACTTTTCAGTCTTTTTCTTTTATAAATTGTTTCTATTTAAAAAATGCATTTCTACTCCAAAGTCATAAAGACTTTCTATATTTTTTCTAAGAAAATTTTAAGTTAACTTCTGAGTATGGTGTGAAGGAGATAGGTAATTTTGTTTTCCATGTGGAAGGCTGGTTGCCCCAGCACTATTTATTAAAAAGTGTGTTCCCATTTGGCACACCTCCTTGATCATATTGAGGTTCCATTTATGCTTGGGAATATTTTCAGTGTCTTTATTTTGTTTCATTGATGTATTTATCTGTGTTCCATACTCACAGTGTTAAATACTATTACTTTATCATATTTTAATCTAGTAGATTCAATTCCTACTCATTTTTTTTCTCAGAATAGCTTTGGCTGTTTAGAATCAGCTTAAGTTCCATGAAAATTATAATGGGGTTTTGATTATTATTATTATTTTTATTTTTTTGAGATGGAGTTTCGCTCTTGTTGTGCAGGCTGGAGTGCAATGGTGTGATCTCACCTCACTGCAACCTCCTCCTCCTAGGTTCAAACGATTCTCCTGTCTCAGCCACCCGAGTAGCTGGGATTACAGGCGTGATCCCAGCTAATTTTTGTATTTTTAGTAGAGATGGGGTTTCACCATGTTTGCCAGGCTGGTCTGGAACTTCTGACCTCATGATCCTCCTGCCTCGGCCTCCTACAGTGCTGGGATTACAGGCGTGAGCCTCTACGCCCAGCCTTGATTATTATTTATAGTTTTTTTTTTTTTTTTTGGAGATGGAGTTTCTCTCTTGTTGTCCAGGCTGGAGTGCAGTGGCATGATCTCGGCTCACTGCAACCTCCCCCTCCTGGGTTCAAGTGATTCTCCTGCCTCAGCCTCCCCAGTAGCTGGCATTACAGGCATG